GTACCCGGTGGGGTCTTCTGCTGTTGTAGCCCATCTGCCTCAAGGTTGTGTGTTGTGGCTTCACAAATGCTTTGCTGCATACCTCGGTTGTAACGAGTGGTTATTTCAGTCAAAGTTGCTCTTCTATCAGCTTGAATCAGTCGGCCCATTCTCCTCTGGCCTCTAGCATCAACAAGGCATTTTCGCTCACAGGACTGCCACATACTGGATGGTTTTCCCTTTTCACACCATTCTTTGTAAGCCCTAGAAATGGTTGTGTGTGAAAATCCCAGTAACTGAGCAGATTGTGAAATACTCAGACACCAACAACCATGCCACACTCAAAACTGTTTAAATCTTCTTTCTTTCCCATTCTGACATTCAGTTTGGAGTTCAGGAGATTGTCTTGACCAGGACCACACCCCTAAATGCATTGAAGCAACTGCCATGTGATTGGTTGATTAGATAATTGCATTAATGAGAAATTGAACAGGTGTTCCTAATAATCCTTTAGGTGAGTGCATAACAGGTCTTAATGAAATGATCAGCCTTTCTAAAAGTGAACTCTTCATGGACAAGTTAAACACTTTTTCCTCTATGTTATGTATTATCCTTTTCATAACTGGGATTGAGGTCGTGAATCTCCAAAAAAAAAAGGACCATGAAAGTGATCCATATGATATTCTGAACACAGAATTCAAATATGCTGCATCATGCCAGGTTTGACAGTGACATCAAACTTTGTGCTGCGTCTCTTCAGGACCCATATTTGACTTGAACACAAGCAAGAATGAGATTTCAAAGCAATGCGAGAGTAAATGATGATAGAATTATAATTTTTCCAATTCCTTTACAGGGAGGAATGTTAAAATAAAGATGAGCGCTGTCTACCTCTCTCCGATAACACTCTCAGGTGACACCGTGAACTACAGTAGCTCTGACCTCTTCATCAACTGCTAATAGCTTCTACAGCTGCATACTGTATGTTCCCTCTTCCTCGCCTTCAGCTCTGGGCCAGTCCGTCACTTTTATTTACATTCTTTTCCTCTCTCACAATCTATATGAATCAGCTGTTCGGTTGCCCAGCATCTCCCTCGCCTCAGTCGAACGAAGGCCAACACGCTTTACGTTCAGCCACACCTGTGCAAGCACTTACACAGAGTTCCCGCTGGACCGCTTTACCGCCATCCTCCACAGTCCTGTGGCCCAGCGCAAACACAGCTCCAAGTCCCTTGTTCGCAAAAGATGCTGCAAGCTAACTACGAGCCAAATGCGAGGCCGTGGAACACAGATAACAGTGTCAGAAACTCAATAAGCTACACAACAGAGCCAAATCTGAAGAATAGCATACCTCAACATTTTCCATGGCCCGTCTGCACCAAGAGGCTGAAAAGCAGGCATGTGATTGTGATATTGAGATTGTGCTGATGAATTCTGCAGGGGTTCACTACATGCCAAATATATTAGATTTCCACAATTCAGAGTAGTATTCCAGGAAAATTTAAGAACATTTTGTGTTGTCATACAACTTAAGGTTGGCAATGTTAAGGTAAAAGCTAAATAAATGTGAAAAAATCCCATAGTGAGTGAACTTAAATGGTAGTCGCCAAGGCTTTTCTTCCCTATTGTAACATCTATCCAAGTGAAACGTCTTCTGGAATGAGAAAAATGTAGGGGTAGGGCTTGATTTCGTCCTTTCCGGAATTAATTAGATCGTAGGAAGTTCAGGGAAGCTTATCTGAAAGCTAGTTTCCAGTCAGCAGTGGAGGATATTTAATCTCATCACCCGCCGAGACATATGTCATGAAGAGATGTTGTTTCGAGGGGGAGAGGACATTAACATTTTTGATTAGAGATTACATGTGCATGTGAATTTAAAAATAAAATAATGATGAACACGGTTAAATCATTTATAATAAACACTGGTGGAATGGATGTTAGCAGCACAAGTAATGCAAAAAATAATTACCACCAATTACTACAGATAATAATTTCCACTTTACCCTATTATGTAAAACAAATGATAAAACATGTTTTGTTTCAAATACGCTAGATGATCAGAATTAATTGCTTGCCTCAAATATTGCTCAGTCGTGTGTGCCAATCCACACTAACTAAAGTTTTATCCCCAATGGAAGTCCTCAAAAAGGAAGATTAAGGTCTGTTACTAGTGTAGCGATTTCGGCAAATGTTAATAGATTGGCAAAAATTGTTACATAGAAATTGAGTTGCAGGTGTCTCAAACCTAAGCGAACAAGATGAGTAACAGCTCTTGAATGGCATTCTAAGACATATAAGTGCTGAGAGGCTTCAAATACACATCAAATGAGAGGAGAAAGAGGAGACAGAAAGACGCAAGACCTTTTCGATGGCATTTCCTCACTCCTCCCCATTGTTGTTATTGTTAACTAAAATGAAAAAACTTAAACTTGATGAAAATTAAAAAAAGTACTAAAGTGAAAACACACATGAAAATACAAAAATAAAAGCTTATTCAAAATATTTAAAAAATAACTAAAATAACACTGATCGTCCAATATCTACTGTACCATCTGACAGGAAGAGTTGAGAGATATTTCTCCAGGACGAGTCTTTGGGGAGCAGTAATGAGAGAAACAGACCGAGCGGAGAGGTGTGATGCTGACGATTAACACTTTTAACAGGCGTCTACTTCAGCTCCAAAACAGAAAGCCACCCTGTCGATAACACAACCAATGTGGCCTGCCTCGTCTTAAAACTGTGATGGAGACTACACGCATATAAAATACTTAAGAAAGTGTACGGCCACACCTGCTAGAATTACTTGTTTTTGATGCATCTTGTTTTAAGATTCAGCAAAGTGCAGTCAAGGAAAAAAAAAATTTAAAGTGAGAAACAAAGTAGAAAAACTGATCTAAAACTGATCCGGCATTAGAATTGTACCAGAGGATTTATGCAACCAATTTGAGCCCGGTCTCATCCCAAGGCGTCATATACTGACTAGGAATGGGCAACAATTAATCGCGATTAATCACATCCAAAATAAAAGTTTGTGTTTACATAAAAATGTGTATGTTTACAAGAAAAATGTGTTATTAATATATCAAATATTTATATTTATATATAATATTAATTGTGAATAAATATATATAAAATATATACATGCACATGTTTCTTAAATATATTCTTGCATGTGTGGGTATTTATATATACAAATTAATTATACACACTACACACACATATATTATGTAAACACAAACTTTTATTTTGGATGCGATTAATCGCAATTAATCGTTGCCCATCCCTAATACTAGGAGAAACACATTTCAATTTCGATTCGATTTCGATTCGCAAGCTCTCAGTTCGATTCGATTTCGATTCGATTTTCGATTCTCGATTCCTGATTTGATTCTCGATTCAACTATAATGAAGATGTAATAAAAATCCTATATTTATAATTTATAAAAAAGAACAGTGGACATAAGTTTACTAGTGGTTAATTAATACAAGGAAATTAAGAGCCATAAACCTGTATATAAAACTCTTTTTATTTTAGGTACACTAAATGCATACAAAGACTAGACAGGATTTTGATGCAATATGCAAAAAAAGTCAGAACAGTCGCACAGGTTGATCAAACAGTATGATGTTATTTTATGTTTAAGATAGATAAATATATAAATATTTAGACATTTTTTACATTGATCTTACCTAAATGTTAATGTATTTTTTTGTTAAGAGTTTATGTATGGATGCTTGATTTCAATCTTTGAATTAAATTGAAAAACGTAGCACAAATAAATACAATAGAATAAAGACAAAAATTAAGAGACATTTTGGGGTAGTTTTTTGGGTATGTCAGAAATACTACAGAAACTGAATGAAGTAATCCAATGTAAAATAACACTGGATAGTCTTTTTAGTCCAGACTGAATTAAATACAAAGGCTATTAATTCTGATTGCTTACAAATAATACTATATTCTGTTGTTATGACAACAGAATTAATGACTGACACAAATGGCTGCGTTCACTTTAAGAACTAGTGTGCGAATCCATTACTGTTTCATTAACTTTCTGTCACACGCGTTTAATGCTAATTTAAGACATTACCGACTGTCTTTACGAGGTTACTCACCAAGACCAGAGTTTTGACATAATGTCGCGTGTTTTAACTGTTAAAGTGATATAATCCAGGGATAAAACTTTTGTTTCTGGCGAGCTGTTTGTGAGGCGGATTTAGGCTGTGCACGCAGTGAAAGAAATCTCTGAGAGTGCGCGAGCACGGGATGGTTTAACATTGCTTGAGCAAATAAATGATAAATGTTAGTTACGATCATAGATCACAATGCAATGCTGGCCCGATTGTTAAGTGAATATTCCGTCATGTCCCGACTCCTAAACGCTTGTGTGTATCGACAGCTGCAGCGCTGCTTGCCTAGTGCAGAGAGACGAGAAGATGCAGCACCGCGTCCGCGAGCCCTTTATATGGAAAAATTCGATTCGTGGCCGTTGAGAATCGATTTTGAATCGACCACATTTTAAAAAAACGATTAATCGAAAAATCGATTTTTTTGCCCAGCCCTACCTAATACTGATGCTTTTGACATTTCGTCTACATCCAACACACATGGCAGCCTTTAGCATCAATATGAGACGCAGATATATATATGGGGCAGAAGGCGCCTCCTAGTGGTGTAACACTAACCCTACCCCAGACCTAAACCTACCATAACCGAACAAAGCTCTGTGCGTGCTATATTGACGCTAAAGGGTGCCATGAGCGTTGGATTTAAACAAAATGTCAAAAGCGTCACTATATGAGGCCCTAGAATAAGAATGTGTTTACCAATTTAGGTAGATGCACATGTTAGAGGTGCATTTTGCTGGATGGACTATACTGCCACCCGTCTATGTGGTGTCTTCTTCCGTTGCAAAAATGCCATCTCAGTACATCAGCGGCTATTCCAGCAAGGTTAGCTGATACTAACCAGGGCAAACAGAAGATGAACAGAAATGAAGGTGGATGAGGTTGAGACGTACCTTATAGCGCATCTTGGGACACGAGTGTACGTAGAAACCCAGATAGTAGTAGGCGAGTTTGGGCGACTGCTGCTGCAACTGCCTGGTGAAGGCAATCTCCCTGCAGAGAGAACGAGAGCAGGGATCATATTTTACAGGAATATGGTTTATGCTACAAAACAAGCAACCATATTTTCCCGTTAGTTTGATTTGAGGAGCATTGTGGTCCTCAACATGGAGCTGTAATGCTGTTTTATTGCTACAAATATCCACTGTTCAATTATCAATTGTAAACAAGACACTCTTGCAGAGTCAATGTAGTTTGACAGATTTCTTTCCATTTATGTAACAGTATATAATTTTAGAGATATTTAGAGATATGACACTTCAAATTTAAATCTTTTTAACAAATGAACTAATAAAACTATTTTATTCATGATTTTTAAACGATTAATAATAACTCTGTTAACAGTCCTTAAAGGGATAGTTCAAGTTGAAATAAATTTTTGATATGTTTTAGCTTACCTCAATGGCATCCGAGATGTAGGTGTCTTTGTTTCCGCAGTATTTTCAATTTTGATATATTGAGGTCAAACCGTTCGTGTCTGTCAGTCATATAATGGAGGTCTATGGTCACCACCTCAAAGAGCATGCACAGAGAAGTCCAAATTAAACATGATTTAATGACTCGTAAATGTAAGTACACACTGATGGCCAAAGACACGAAACGAGCGGTTTGTGTGAGAAAACGAACAGTACTTATATCGTTTGACTTCTCTGTGCATGCTCTTTGAGGTGGTGACCATAAACCTGCATTATATGACTGCCACACGAACAAAAATATAAAAATTGAAACTACTGCGGAAATAAAGACACCTACATCTTGGATGCCCCTAAGGTAAGATAAAACACATCAAAAATTAATTTCAAAGTGAACTATCCCTTTAATTATACTATATAAAGTGTAGCATTAGGATATAATTCTTAAAGGGATAGTTCACCCAAACATTTTAATTCTTTCATTAAGTCCTCACCATCAAGTCCGTAAGACCTTCATTCATTTTCAGAACACAAATTAAGATATGTTTGATGAAAGCTTTCTGCCCCCCCATAGACAGCAACATTATCACCAATTTCAAGGCACAGAAAGGTAGTAAAGAGATCATTAAATCGGTCCATGTGACGACAGTGGTTCAACCTTAATGTTATTAAGCAACGAGAATACTTTTTGTGGCAAAAACAAAACAAAAATAACAACTTTATTCAACAGTTTCTTCTCTTCCATGTCAGTCTGTGTTCTTGCGTGTTTGAAACAACATGGGGGTGAGTAATTAATGTTTTAAGTAGTCTTTTAAGTAGATAAAACATCAACTGATTTGCTGCATACGGACCAGATCAACTGTTTCCCTCATAAACAGCCATTTGAATGTGTATCTGGAAGTGCTGAAAAAGAGGAAGCGGAGGAGGAAAACAAAAGGGAGGAAAAATAGAGGAGATTTATACAGTACTTCCTCCTGTGAGCAATCAAGGAGCTCTCTCTCTCTTTTCAATTCTCTCTTTATTCCCTGCACAAACTTGTTTCTCTTTTCCATAAATAAATCCTGCTTTTTCTTCTCTCTTCTCTGCATTTTGTACACCTCATACTCTCTGTCTTTTCAAAAATTAGGGGGAGAAATCTTTTCTTTTTTTTTGCAGGAAAAAGAGAGGAAGAGTGAGAAGCCAAAGCCAAATAAAAGTAGTGGAAAATGAAAGAGGAAAACAGAGAAGGGAGAAGGAGCGACGACAAACAGCGAGGTGCTGGAAGGTCATGCGGTCGCTGCCAGGTTCCCGGGTTCCCATCCCCTGGTGACAAAGCCTGGCTCTCCATGAATGAGAGACGGATAAGAAGAGGCTGTGGAACCCATTCACAAAAAAAGATGGAGAAAGAAAGAGGGACAGAAGAAAGAGGGACATAAAGAAAGGGCAGTCCCCCCAGTCCCCACCCGCTCGCGCTGGCAGCAGATTGAAGCCTCCATTATCTCCTCTTCAGCGGGCTGACACCCCCACACAAGCCAATTATGCAGCAGCGCTCACCATGGACAAGACGTCTGCTTAATATTAATGTCACACACACACACGGAGATGTGCGGAACATATTTTCCGAATCTACACAACTCAATGTCTAACTATTATTGAAGATGTAAACAAAATAGCAGTCATTGAAACAATACAACATATACAAGTTTCTTAAAAAAAATTATGTAATGTATTAAAAAAAAACTTCAGCCTCATGTCATCCAAGATGTCCATGTCATTCTTTCTTGTAAATTAAAATTTAATTCGAACTCGATCATCAAAATGAACAAATGTTTTTTCGAGTCATTTGATTCATTAATGAACGAACTGACTCGGAAAAGAGTTCGAACAGGAGAGTCACAAACGTGCATCACAGAACAGAGCAAGGCGAGCATTTGAGCTTATAAAACCTAAACTTTATTTATTTTTTTAAATGAGTGATCGTTTCGCTTGATAAGACCCTTATTCATCGTCTGAAATCGTTTAAAGCCCTTTGAAGCTGCACTGAAACTGTCTTTTAGACCTTGAACCGTTTGGACCCCATTGAAGTCCATTATATGGAGAAAAATCCTTGAATGTTTTCATCAAAAACCTTCATTTCTTTTCGACTGAAGAAAGAAAGACGTGGACATCTTGGATGACATGGGGTGAGTAAATTATCAGCAAAAGTTTTTTTTAACTACTCCTTTAATGTAAATATATCTTCTTAAAAGGATATTTTCATTATATTTTTTCCTAAAAAGCAAGAAATATATACTGATTAGAAGGGTGATTTAAATTTGTCAAGGTGTCTGGGACATATTTCAGCCCAGAAAAAAAGAAATGATACAAATTGATACATATATGTTACATTACTCTCTCTATATATAGCAGTGTTTGCATATTTTCACCTTTTTTCCCCCTGAATATCATTAACTGATATTAATGTTAATTACAGATAAACTACGTATGATAAAATGTCCAGTCTAATAACCATAATGAGAATTTGGGGGGAAATAAACTAAAAATAAAACATCTAATTGATTCTTTAAAAAAAAATCAAATCAACCTTATTTTTGTAAAATATAATTTCTTATTTATACATATTCTGACTTAAATGATGTAGGGGTTAAAATATGCCAAACACAAATTTTCTTAAGCTTCACACAAAGATTTCGACAGCCTTAAGAGTGCAAATGAATTTTCAGCACGTTTCGACTCAGAGGAAACACATATTGTTTATCTTTGCTGGCCATTCATCATTATTTATAGTGTCCAGAGCAGCATGGAGACACATTACTGAACAGTGTCACATCCTGCGCTCACTCAATCACACTGACACACAACAGCACAAAGACACTGACCCCGCGGTTGACACCAGCTGCTCTGGGCACAATCTCCACGTCTCCCTCACGCTTTCTCTCCCGTAGACGTCTTTTTATTATTCTCTCGGTGAGAAATGAGGCTCCCGAAGCCTCAAAACACTCAAAACTCAGAACACGCACACACATCTGGTTGAGTGTAACCTAACCAGGTGAGCCTCCCATGCGAAATATTTGAAAACATGTGTGTGACAAAGAAATATAGACCTGTAACCGTGGGTGTGTGTGTATGGTTGTTTTAAATATAAGATACATTTAAAACTCTACCAGCAAAACAGACAAGATTCAGCACTAAAAGAGTCAGATCAGGATGCATTCCTGCGCTATTCGTCTTCAAGGATAAAATAATTCTATGAAAGAAATCTGCAACATTAATGCTGTTAAACTTTTGTAGGGAGGTAGTGTAGCCTGGTGGTTAAAGGTTTAAGCTGGTGAGTAAAAGGATGTGGCTCAAAATAGATGTCCGAGCAGATTCACACTTCAACTCAAGTCAGATAAAAGACCAATTATTAATTAATAAATGTTTACACCTGTTTCCGCAGTAGTTTCGATTTTGATATTTTTAGGTCAAACCGTTCTTGTCTGTCAGTCATATAATGGAGGTCTATGGTCACCACCTCAAAGAGCATGCACAGAGAAGTCCAAATTAAACATGATTTAATGACTCGTAAATGTAAGTACACATTGATGGCCTAAGACACGAAACGAGCGGTTTGTGTGAGAAAACGAATGGTATTTATATTGTTTTTACCTCTTGTAATCACAGTCACGTCCAAGTGATGTAAGGGCGCGGGCGCTTTGCGGAGAGGAGAGGTTAAAACGATATAAATACTGCTCGTTTCGTGTCTTAGGCCATCAATGTGTACTTACATTTACGAGTCATTAAATCATGTTTAATTTGGACTTCTCTGTGCATGCTCTTTGAGGTGGTGACCATAGACCTCCATTATATGACTGATAGACACGAACGGTTTGACCTAAAAATATCAAAATTGAAAATACTGCGGAAATAAAGACACAAACATCTTGGATGCCCTTGAGGTAAGATAAAACATAACAAAAATGTATTTCAAAGTGAACTATCCCTTTAAGGCCCTTTAAGATTAGTGAGAATTTATGAGTGGCAGTCAGACCTGAGAGCAGAGTAGGTGCCCAATGAGAGCGAGGAGAAGTCGGGGTGGTAGTAGAGATACACAGACGACACACAGGAGGGAAGGATGTCCAGAACGCCCACTGCTACTATTCTGCCATCTAACCAGTACTGCTGATGGAACGAGCCATAGCCCACATCAGGACCATCAGGAGCGGTCTCAGCCTGGGAGAAAGACAGGGAATATCATTATTATTACGATTTCAATATTATACAATTAAAATGTATTCTTTTTTTTTAGGCTTTTACCTCTTTTCATTGGACAAGAGGAACAGGAAATTACTGGGAATTTAGAGTGAGGAACAAGAAATTCTGTGACAAGTCTGGCCATTAAAAAAATAAAATATAATAAAGGGCACATTAAAAAGGAAGGCCTAAGCTTTTTAGTCAGCATAAAAACATGACATTTTACCCATGTGGCATACTTTAGAGTGAAAAAAAAAACTTGATTTTATGCATCAGGATTTGTTTAGATGGTAAAAATAGTTGAATTTTAATGACTAACTTTATATATATATATATATATATATATATATATATATATTATATAAATATAATTCATTCCTATGATGCAAAGCTGAATTTTCAGCATCATTACAGTGTCGCATTATCTTTCAGAAATCATTGTAATGCGCAAAAAACAAAACAAAAAAAAAACATTTAATTACTATGGATTATTTTTTTTTTATTTTTTTTTTTTGACTAACTTTTTTGTGTATGTACTGAGCAGAATGAGACTAGGAAAATGCTTTAAAAAATCTTCAAACTAGTTGTATCATGCAAATAAATGAAAATTGTTGAAAACATTGTGAAATATGTTTCTGTGTGAGATCCCGAGTCAATCAATGCTCAAACAATTTGAAAGTCTGTGCTTGCAAAGGAACACAGGGTGTACAGTAGCTCACTAATAGATCCCACATGTGGGCTGAGAGTGGAGGTGTGTGTGTGTTTGTGGAGTAGAAGTCAATGCCAGGCACACACAAACTACGAGAACGTACGAGAGGCGATTTAATAAAAATCCTTGCATGAGCAAAAATCAATCTCAACTCTGAAAGCCTGTGCAGGAGGGAACAGGGGAGTGTGTAAATCAGGGGTGGCAGTGAGTGGAACCATACACACCCAAAATAAATAAAATTAAAGCTGCAAGCAGCGATGGGCGGGCCCTCGCACCTGTAGCGCGTCGGGGTGTGAGGCGGCCGCGTTGCATATTTTGCAGCTCAGCCGGTGCGGCTGTGAATTTGCTACGCTGCTTCATTAAAGGTCACTTCCTATTGCCAGCAGGTGGCGCTATGACTGTGGGTGAATGTCGGCATGTAGATTTGTTCAGGGCGGGACTCTTGTCAAATGTGTTAAATTTTGTGCAGATCTGGGCATTTACAGCCAAGTTACTACAACTTCCTGTTTCATGGCGAATCTTCGACGCCAGGGCCACGCCCATCGACGAAAATGCGCAGATAGCACAACTTTACATCGTCAATGCCTTTAGAAGGCACAGCAGAAATGTGAAGTTGGTCCGACTAAATCCCTACTTGGAGTTCGTTAAAGTACTTAATGAGTAAATCATCCAAAATTCGCAGTAAAATTAGAAATGGCCGACGTCCTGTTGAGTTTAGGGCATCGCTCCAAGAGACTTTTCTGTGCGTCTGGACATGGTAGATGTACGACAGAAATTTCGTACATGTCGGTCAAACATGCGGCGGGGGATGCTTCGTTAAAGGTCACTTCCTGCTGTCACTAGGTGGCGCTATGACTGTTGGTGAATGTAGACATGTGGATTTGTTCAGGGCGGGACTCTTGTCAAATGTGTAAAATCTTGTGCAGATCTGGGCATTTACAGCCAAGTTACTACAACTTCCTTTTTCATGGCGAATCATCGACGCCACGGACACGCCCATCGACGAAAATGCGCAGATAGCACAACTTTACATCGTCAATGCCTTTAGAAGGTACAGCAGAAATTTTAAGTTGATCCGACTAAATCCCTAGGAGGAGTTCGTTAAAGTACGGAGTGTGTAAATCGTCCCAAATCGGTCGCCAAATTCAAAATGGCGGACTTCCTGTCGAGTTTAGGGTATAGGTTCTTGAGGCTTTTTTGTGCGTCTGGTCATGGTAGAAGTACCACAGAAATTTCGTACATGTCGGTCCAACAAGCGGCGGGGGCTGCTTCGTTAAAGGACACTTCCTGTTGCCAGCAGGTGGCGCTATGACTGTGGGTGAATGTCGGCATGTAGATTTGTTCAGGGCGGGACTCTTGTCAAATGTGTAAAATTTCGTGCAGATCTGGGCATTTACAGCCAAGTTACTACAACTTCCTGTTTCATGGCGAATCTTCGACGCCACGGACACGGCCATCGACGAAAATGCGCAGATAGCACAACTTTACATCGTCAATGCCTTTAGAAGGCACAGCAGAAATTTTAAGTCGATCCGACTAAATCCCTAGGAGGAGTTCGTTAAAGTACGGAGTCTGTAAATCGTCCAAAAATGGCCGCCAAATTCAAAATGGCGGACCTCCTGTCGAGTTTAGGGTATGGGTTCTTGAGGCTTTTTTGTGCGTCTTGATATGATACACGTCCCCACCAAATTTCGTGCATGTAGGTTGAACGTGGACGAGGGGCTAATTTTTTCCAATTTTCTAGGTGGCGCTAGCGAGCCATTTTGCCCCGCCCATCCGCGAAACCCACAAAATACGAAATTTTTCACCAGTCCTGACATGCGTGCCAAATTTGGTGAGTTTTTGAGCATGTTGCGGCCCCGAAAATGGCACTTACTTTGCAGAAAAAATAAAAAAAAAAATAAAAATAACCCTAACAGTTTCAATAGGGTCCTCGCACTGTTAGTGCTCGGGCCCTAACTACCGTTGTGTCTGAAGATAAAAGCCCACATTCCTTCATGTGACATAAATGCACTCATGTCTCTGAATATTCGTCTGCCGTTTTGGACAGCTGTAAAACCCCGAACCGTTACCTGCCCGAGATCGTATTTCCCACTCAAACCTTCACGCTAGCTTTTTTCATTCAAGTGGCTTATGGAGAAGGGCGCTTTATTCACCCTAGTCCACCAATGAGACTTGAAACGGCTCGGCGGGAGGGGGTAACGGGATCTCTCCGTGGCCCATCTGGGTCCAGTTAGCCCTGCAGGAAGGCGGCTCGTTATCACAACACCAGGGGAGCGGCTCGGACAATCTGTTCAGTACGAGAGGCTTTAGACGCCGCTGCGCCACGGTCACTCACCTCCAAATTAAAACCAACACAGAAACATCACATATGCTACTCACAATGTGCAAACCTACACTTGTAAAAATATATTTGTAATGGTAACAATAGATGACTGTAAAAATGCTACGCTAAAACCCTTTTAATTGGTTAATGGCAAGGTCTCTTACTATATACTGTGGAAAAACATCCTCAAACGGGACATTTTATCCACTTTATTTTTTTTTTTTTAAATGTGAGTAACTTTGTAACTTTCCTGTGTCATTTTGCTTCCAATTATTTTACCTGTACAAAAACAGCCCGTTATACTACCTGATACTGATACTGTTATTTTAAATGTATTGTCGTAATTTGAACCACACTGGTTTGTAGCGTTTGTTAATGCGTTTTGATATTTTACTGATACTTACAAAATGAATCAGAAGTCTTGCATATTTCACAGAAAAAGATAAATTATTCTACGTTGCATCCGGTGGATATAATTATATATATATATATACTACACTCTCAGAAAAAAGGTACAAAAGCTGTCACTGGGGCTGTACCTTTTCAAAAGGTAAACTTTTGTCTATTTTAGGTGCTAATATGTCCATTTTAGGTGTTAATATGTACATTTTAGGTGCTATTAAGTACATTTTAGGTGTTAATTGTCCATTTTAGGTGCTAATAAGTACATTTAGGCGTTAATATGTACATTTTAGGTGCTAATAAGTACATTTAGGTGTTAATATGTACATTTCAGGAGCTAATATGTACATTTCAGGAGCTAATATGTCCATTTTAGGTCCTAATATGTACATTTTAGGCGCTAATATGTCCATTTTAGGTCGTAATATGTACATTTTAAGTGTTAATATGTACATTTCAGGAGCTAATGTGTACATTTTAGGTACTAATATGTACATTTTAGGTATTAATCTGTACATTTTAGGTGCTAAAATGCACCACTAAGGTACCAATATGCATCCTTTGGGTACAAAAGTGTACCTTTTGAAAAGGTACAGCCCCAGTGACAGCTTTTGTACCTTTTTTTCTGAGAGTGTATAATACTAAATAAACATAGATATAGTATATAATACTGTTAAATGTCCAGATATTGGAAGTACAAATTAAAAGTCATATTATAAATTATATAAACTGACATTCCCACAATTCCCTGCTTGACATTTCATTTAAATAATTATATTTCTTGGTTTCTCGGTAAAGGTTTTGTTATCAGTTATGTGCATTTAGGTTTTATGTTACATCATATATTGTTAAATTAATGTTTATTAAATTAAGTATCATGATGATGTTTTGTATTTCTGTAGTGTACATGACACTGTGTACACCTTCAATATACTTTGTTTCAAAACAGCTTCACAGAAAAGCCATATGTTGTGAAAGATCTACAAATAAACTTGAATTAAACTGAACATTTTAGTATAGCTCTGCTTGTGGAAAGGTTATTTGTGTCTATTTTAACATGTATTATTATTATGGTGGCTATCCGTTTATTATACAGACACAAAACAGATTTTAGTTCTTTAGGAGGATGGAATATTAACATTATATCAGTTAGTGAAATTAACCTTTTTATTGTTATTTCAGTGCCTTTTAAATCTAGCATCTTTCAAAGTTGGCAGGGTTCCCCCTTACTTCCTGTTACAGTAAACCCCTCATTTTGTCCGCCGAGGTCCACATTCCATATGTATAGTTTACTTATTTTCATTCAGTGTGCTTGTCCAGTTGGTCGGCGGTTTAAACTAGCTGTCAGTATTAAGTACACACAGCCGCTCGAGATGAAGGTACTTTCATAGCGCGGCTAGCGATGATGATTAAGGGCCTGCGGTGAAACTGAGAGCCCGTTCTCAGCCTGGCTTTTGGCACCACATGTGCAGCGCCTCGTTTCTGTCAGAACCAGACTGGACTCAAATCCAACGCATGTCATGCTAACTTGCCCTCTGGCAG